AACAATCGATAACGACAACTGAAGCTACCAAGCAAGCGATCGATTAATCATTCGAAAGAATTTCTGATTTTCAGGGGCATAGAAACGACGAAGTCGTTGAAGGACTTCTGCACGTACGTACGGATGTTTTCTGCCTTTCGTCTTCCCCAGACAATGGAGACTGCCATTAGGTCGGCGAACACATGGGAATTTCTTAACTGGATCGACGCCAAAATGCTCTGCTTTTACACTGAAACGATTTTTTATCACGAATTTTTTTGATATTCGTAGTTCTATGAAACTTTGTTTGAGCAGCTAGTCCCGCGTCACCAATTTCAGGGTTGCTAAAGGTAGCTTGCACATAAACCCTTCTAAAAACAGCGGTCGCGACTAACCAAATAGCACAAATCTACTCCGCTAACTCCGCCCATCTTACCAGGCCACGCCTACCAACCAGTGCATGTACACCGGATTACCAGCTCATGATTTTAACTTTACGTTATACATGTGTGTCTAGTAAGCTAATGTAAAACCACTAACGAAACATGACCTGTGGTAAAGTCATTATTGTTCTCGTCCAAAAGTTAAGGTGCGGGTTCGAGTCTGAGCTGAGGTAACGTGTTTTGCCCACATCTTATCATCATTTTTGGTAAATAGCGACAGCTTGAAGAATGTTTAACCTAGGAAGTACGTATAGCGCCAATTTGGCCCAAAACACCAAGATAGCTCGGGTCGACAAGTGCATTATAAGGAAGCTCCAGAGGAATTTCTACCCAGAAAGCACCTTCTGCAAATGCCTTCAGCTTTAGTTAAGTTATTACAAGTTAGTTGTCAATCTTCTAAAATAGTCGAAATAGTCGTAACCCGCAGGGGAATGGCTATACCCGCCCATTCGAAATGAGCTTGGCAAAAATGTAAGACTTGCCTGGCTCTAATCCGAGAAACCTTTCCGTTTGGCTGACTTCCAATGCCGGCTGTGTGACAAGCCGTTCGCCGTCTACGATATGAATTTGCTCCATTGGAAAGTTGTCCAGCCATCTGAAGAAATGTTAAATTTCTAACACCAATCCGAATCCATAAAATCGGCAATATTACCTCTTCATATGCTTGTGATAAAGACCAATTCGAATTGCTCCCCATCCGACGTTGACCCCGCCCACTTTTGAGGAACAGTTTGTCTTCAGCCACGGCGCACAGTCGCCGACGGCCATGTCTTCAAATGTGGGCATTGGTCCGAGCATCTTACGCTTCGAAGATGATTGAGTGTAGTCTGGAAGAAAAAAATGAAGGGATGAAAAATGCGCTGGCATCAGGCCAACTCAATCTTACCCGAAATCGCTCTCATCACTGGGTCCCTTACGACGATTATGATCTTCATCGCCGGATTCAACGCTCGTATTCGCTCAGCTGCTGTTTTGCTATGGAAATATGCCGGGCTTTTTTCAATGGTCATCTGATTTTTCGTCGTCAACGGCATTTTTTCCCTGAAACGATAAATTGTACAAAAACCATTTTCAAATTCTAAAGAAGTGTATTGAAAAAAAAGAGGGGAGATCAATGAACTGACCTAAATGAAGGAAAGCAAGCGAAAGCAGCCTAGAAGAGAAAAAGGACACAGAGGCTAAAAGAAAAGGTCGAAAAGAAACAAACACATCTGAACTTTCAAAATCGAATCAAAGAAGGCCCGTTAAGACCAAAATGCATACTGTGAACGCAATTCGAGGCCGCCTCCAATTCACGCCAGTCAAAGAAGAAGCAAATGTTAACAGAAGGACTCCAATTATCATAAAGACAGAAATAGGCGACACCGCGACTCATCTACAAAGTTACCAAAAAATAAAAATTCAACACAGGGCGCACTTCAATCATGCTAGCGTGCAGCGATTTCTGAGCATTAAGCTTTGACACTATAAAATTGGAGTCCTTTAGGTACTCAAAGGATTGCCTATCTCACCCGACCTTCCAATCTTCATTGACTATAAGAATTACAGACCATCTTAGAAACGTGACTTGCCATGACTGGCAGGCCTGGTGCTGATACCAGTCTGTGCCGCGTAACACAATCGTGCGACCTTTTCTTCTCGTTGCCGAGCGGCGCAGTCGCGCTATCTGAAGGCGCCAATGACGTAAACTGTCATCAGGTCGCCAGACATAGTGGCTATTGATGAACCGACACTCATTGCCACTACCGTAATCCGTACTACTAAAAAACTTACCTGACACTGAAACGGAACGAGGATCTGCTGCTAGAAGGACGAATCTCATCGAAGGACGAATCCACACCTCAGACTATCCACCCGCTAGCGTCAAGATGCTAGAGTTATAAGCAGCAAATGACATAAATTGAAAAAATATCTCAGAAAAAAGGCAAAAGCGCATAGTAATCATAAAAAAAAGTCTCAGCAAGTTTATTCACTGAAGTCCACTAGAAACGAAAGGTCAGTTCCCTAATATACGATACCTTAACCAGGTGACGCCAAGAATCAAACAATCCAACGATGCCTAATGCACAAATGATGGCTTGCGCTGCCCAGATTCCCCATTTTCACTACTTCGGATAGCTGCTTGGGTCAAGATCAACCGTGTGTTGCGCGGATTTCGGAAAATTTTACGACCACCCCCTCAAACTCCATTGGGGGTCACGATACCACCTCTTTTTGCAACCTTTTCACCTGCACCACTCCGAAGACGACCTCCCTCCCTCTAAAAAACTATTATAAAGTTCGACTACCTCGTTGAGAACTGCGCAACGCAAGGTTGGCCCTGTTGCTACTTTGAAAAGGATCTCTGAGAGTGAGATTTCAATTCTGTCTTATTGGCCGACTGCTCAACTAGGGGCTGGGAGATTCACCGACTTTCACAGTAACCCTCACTCTAGTACTGCATTCGTTTTCTCCCTTAACCTCATTCTCTGCATATTGCTAAACCTCACTGAGTCATGAGAATAGCGTTTCAGACTCTTGAGTGCTCGCATCCCAAACCTGACCTCAGCCCTCTAAAAACCCTGGGAAAGTCTGGCGCTGGTCCAGTCTTCCATATGTTCTCTGAGTCAATCTGTGGTACACATTTGTCGCCTTCCGGTTAGCACCTTTGCACGTCATAAAAACCGTCGTCAAAGCGTAGCCGACGATCGTTTAACGCGCAGGTGGTACACGAAACAATTTGTCGGACACTCGACAACTGTTACGAGTGGTGGCCGAGGGTGATCGTTACCACTTTAATAGCGTAAGAATTACGGTAACTGGCTTACTGACTGGCTGATTGTGTAATGGCACAGAAAGTATTTGGGAGACAAAGGGAAGAAAAAGGCTTGGAGTGGTCGCTCTAGTGTTTAGCGTCTTGTCGAGTAAATCAGGGAAGGGACAGCTCGGAGAAGAGAAAATCCCTGGGTAAAATTGGACTGTTGCCAAAAACCCAATGGTCACGGATTTATTGTTCTATAACCAGGCTTCAGAAAGATCCCGGCCCACGTTACCTGCTATATAAAGCAACATGGGCGAGGAAACAAGGCAACTGGACAGAAGGAATATGAGCCAGATAAGTTGCCTTAACCAGAATCTTCAGTATCCTGAAGCTGCAGTCCATTAGGTCCCCCTTGCCATTAGTGAAACGAGCCTCCTGCTACCTTCGACCATACAAGGGTAGCACAGGGG